AGGCACCTGTAATTACAGCTACTGAGGAGGCTAAGGCAGGAGAATCGTTTGAACTTGGCAGGTGGAGGTTGCAGTTAGCTGAGATTGTGCCACTATAATCCAGCCTGGGCAACAGAGTAAGACTGTGTCTCAAAAAAAAAGAAAAAGAATTCCAGGATATATGAAGTTATTATGACTAAAAACCATGTATTACGTACATCATATTTTTAATTTTGTTACAATAATTAATCTTCCTTGTCATCCACAGCATATTACAGAGATAAATACAGACTCCTCTCAGCTGTCAATATTTTTAATAACGAGCTCCTTGGTACTAAAGAAGTTGAAGATTACAACTCAGAAATGCAAAGTGTTGGGCCAGGCACAGTCACTCACTACTGTAACCCAGCACTTTGAGAGGCAGTGGCAGAATAAGCACTTGAGCCCAGGAGTTTGAGACCAGCCTGGGTAACATGGCAAAACCCCATCTCTATAAAAAACACAAAAATTAGCCAGGCCTGGTGGTGGGCACCTGTAGTCCCAGCTACTCAGGAGCCTGAGGTAGGAGGATTACCTGAGACTGCGAGGTTGAGGCTGCTGTGAGCTGTGATTGCGCCACGGCACTCCAGCCTGGGTGACAGAGTAAGACCCGTCTCAAGAAAAAAAAAAAAAGAAGATGAAGAAAAGGGAAATGTTGATGTATTTGGGTTTAGAGAATAGCTGCAAAAAATGATTTTCCATATCTGCTGGAGGACAGCGTGTCTTTGTAAGTAAAGTTTGCAAGGCAGACAGATTGTAATTTTGTGGATAGAGTTAGTGAGTGGTAACAAAGCTGGAGAGACCAGTGTTCCCGTGACTAAGTGCAGGTGGCTAACAGTGCTGGGTTAAGGGGCCAAAGTCTACAGACAAGGCACTGGCCCTCTCCACATTTTGCAAATTTCACTTCTTTTAAAAAGGAAAAAAAAAAAAAAAAGGAACTTGATATTTCTCAGAATTCAAAACTCATTTTTTTGTTTTGTTTTGTCTCAGAAAACTGAAGAATGGGAAAAAAGGAAGACTGAAGCAGACATGGAAGAGTATATATGGGAAAATAGCTCATCAGAAAGAAATATTCTGGAAACACTTCTCCAGATTAAAGCTGCTGAGAAAAATACGGAAGTAAATAAAGAAGAGCTCCTTGGTACTAAGGAAGTTGAAGAATACAAAAAGTCTGTTGTTAGTCTTAAAAATGAAGGGGAAAATGAAAATTCTGTTTCTCAGTACAAAGAATCTGTGAAGAGACTATTACATTTGACATGAATTACGGAGTAGAAAAATCTGCTTGATTTATTAATTTTATGATATATGTAATCAGTATCTAATTTGATATAAAATTGAAAATGTTTTAAAAAATTGTTTTTCATTAGAGTTAAAATTATTTCCTTCATACTAATGCTCAGTGGCAATGATTACTCCATAGTTTTCTTACTTTTACACTGGGGCAGTAGACTAGGAGATCTCTGATTTCTTCGTGGTCTAAAGTGTTTTGATTTCATTTCTACATAACAGCTTTGGTGTTTGTGTATATATATGCATTTAATTGTTATTTTGTCACTTTCCCTATGTCTCTCCACACAAGCTGGCATTCAGTAGTTGCTTCTGAGTAATGGTTTTGGTTAAAGGTAGGCCCAGAACCCAGTTCCTTTACTTGAAGTTCCAGGCTCTGTTCACATGACTGCTATCTAGCTGATGCATTTGTCACAGTTGTCAATTCTGGTTAGAAGCAGGTCCTCAGGAGTATTTTCTAAAAAGATAATGTTGACTCAACTTTGTTTAGCATCCTACTTTCTGTATTGTGGGGCTCATTTTGCCAGGCCGAAGCTACCAGAAAAATAGAAGTGGAGATTACCTGGTATGTATCCTGCTGGGTGCCCCAGTTAGAGCTGCCACAGCTCAGGAAAAAGATGAGGCATAAGGACCTTGGATTTAATTGGAGTAAGTGACAAAGTAAGAACTACCCTGGGAAACGTTGCATTCAATTTAGCTGTCAATTCAGTATTTTTAAGTACATCTGTAAGCTGTTTCTTACCACTTCTGTGGTTGTGACTAATTTAAGTGATTAAATTCAAAATAAGCAATTAATTTAAAATTAAAATAAAGGAATTACTGAGTTTATTTGCCTAATAGACTTACTTTGCCTAACAGAATTAGAGAGTATAAATGAAAGCCAAAATGAATTTTACAGCAATTTCCTAAACCATTTGTATCAAATGAAGGTATGACTTGGTGTGAGTGACACAAGGAGTCTGCAGATGATGAAGGACAATACGGTCTTGAGTACAAAACGAAGAGAAAGAGGCATGTCATGCCCCACTGTGTGGAAATAGTGGATGAAAAGCAGTATAGATAAAACCCAAATTTTAGATCATGTCTAGAGCATACTTCAAGAAACATATCAGTACATTTAGAGACTCATATGAAGTTAAGAAAAACTCAGCTTCCTAACAGTATTGAAGAAGAAACATTTTGAAGAGTTGAGGCTGAGAAGAGATGATCATTTGGGAAAATGTAAAGGAGTGGTAGCTTAGGGTGGTTCATCCTGTGTAATAACACAGTGCAGATGAAAGCAGAGAGGAGGATGTGCAATAAAGAATTTGACCTTACCCAGAAATCTGGTCTTTGCCCTGGTCTTCTGGGATGTAATCTGTATCATACCTGATAGGACTGTCTTTGTTTAGCAGGTAGCTGGCCCCAAAAGATCTCAGAAAGTCATGACCAACGTGCCAGAAAAACCTACCATGTATTTAGGGTGGGGGCTTTGAGTCACATGGCAGCTGTCCACTTGGCAGCTGAGATTGACTTACCAGACAATCAGCAATCATACCCACATAGTGGAGTCCAGTAAAATCTTTGAACACGGAGGCTTGAGTAAGCTTCTTGGGTTGGCAATATTCCATGCCTATTGTCACACACTGACATTAGGAGAGTAATGTGTCCTGACTCTGGGGTGGTGGGGAGGCATCAGAAGCTAAACATTTGAACCCTTCCTGAGCCTCAACTTAGGTGCTTCTTCCATTGAGTGACTTTAATGTATCCTTTCCCTGTAATAAACTGTGGTTGTGAGAATAATAGCTTTCATTCAGTCCTGAGTTCTAGTGAATTATTGAACCTGAGGTTGGTTTAGGGAATCCCCCCCCAAACTTACAGTTGGTGTCAGAAGTAGGACGGCCTTGTAGAGGACTCTACCCTTTTTTGCAGTTTGGACAACTCCAAGTAACCTGAAAACTCTTAAGTTATAATCATTGATGCCTAAGGGTAAAATCATAGGATTAATACAAAACTGCCTCAAAAATAGAACAGTTGGACCAGGTGCAGTTGCTCATGCCTGTAATCACAGCACTTTAGGAGGCTGAGGTGGGAGGATGGCTTGAGGCCAGCCTAGGCAACATAGCAAGATCCTGTCTCCACTTTAAAAATGTATGTGTAATTTCTGTAAATAAAACTTTAGGATAATTTAAATCTTGCCCCCACCCACCATCACTCCCTGCTTCAAATAGCATGGAGTTATTCCCCCCAATGTATTAGAGGAGAAACTGATAAAATTTATGACACCTAATTTTATGAATTACTACAAGTTAAGATAAATTGACATTTTTTTTTTTGAGATAGAGTCTTACTCTGTTGCCCAGGCTGGAGTGCAGTGGCATGATCATGGCTCACTGCAACCTCTGCCTCCTGGACAGCTTCAACTTCCCAGGCTCAAGCAATCCTCCCACTGCAGCGTTCCAAATAGCTGGGAATACAAGTATGTGCCACAATGTCTGGCTAATTTTTTAACTGATTATGCATTTATTTATTTGAGACAAGGCCTTACTCTGTTGCCCAGGCTGGAGTGAATAGGCACATTAATGGCTCACTGCAGCCTCAACCTCCCGAGCTCAAGTGATCCTCCCACTTCAGCCTCCCAAGTAGCTGGAACTACAGGCACACACCAGCACACCCAACTAATTTTTGTATTTTTTGTGGAGATGGGGTCTTGCCGTGCTGCCCAGGCTGGTCTCAAGATCCTGGGCTCAAGTGATCCTCCTGCTTCAGCCTCCCATAGTGCTTGGATTATAGGTGTGAGCCACTGTGCCCCTCCTTTTGATTAAATTTAAAAAATCAGACTTCTAATTGCAGTTAGTATTCAACCACAAGAGATTTTAATTTTATATTTTTCTTTTATATTAAAAGAAATAGTCATTCTCTCTTTCCACCCAGTATTACTACCAGGGAAAGAGAAAAATATATCTTAAGCCACTGGACTTAGAAAAATTTGGGTTTTCTTTTTCTTTTGAAATTAAATGTTTTATTTTTATGTATTTAAGGGTACAAGTGCAGTTGTGTAACATGGATATATTGTGTAGTGGTGAAATCTGACATTTAGTGTACCCACGGATTATTTGTTTTAACCTATGAGGGAACAGTACTATTTTATAAATATTATAAATAGGATTTCCCCTTATTTGTTCTTTTTTTTTTCAGCAGAGTCTCACTCTGTTGCCCAGGCTGGAGTGCAGTGTTGCAATCTTGGGCTCATTGCAACCTCTGCCTCCTAGGTTCAAGTGGTTCACCTACCTCAGCCTCTTGAGTAGCTGGGATTACAGGCGTGTGCCATGACACATGGCACATTTTTGTATTTTTAGTAGAGACAGGGTTTTGCCATGTTGGTCAGGCTGATCTTGAACTCCTGACCTCAGGTGATCCTCCCGCCTCGGCCTCCCAAAGTGCTGGGATTACAGGTGTGAGCCACCACACCCAGTCCATTATTTATTCTTTATGCTTATTAACTGTCTTTTAATATCTGTTCTCACATTAAAAACAGGTTTCAGGAATGAGATGGCTTAAAAAGCTTAAGTTTATTAGAGACTTGAACTACAGTATTCCACTTAAGAGTCTTCTAAGATTTAGGGGACAAATCTGGTGTAAGATTTGGACAGAACTGAAACACTCAGAGCTAATCTTTACACCTGGGAAAACAGAATGTATACAAGTGAGGGATGTAACTAAAACTCCCAATCTTTATTCAACAGAAATCAATACAAAAAGCTCAAAGAGCTCAGTAGCACAATTACTGAAAGGAAGATGAAGATGGGTTGAGATTGAGAAGGATTAATCAATTGAATGCAGAAAGCTAGATTAAGATCGGGAGGCATTTGTTTACGGGTTAGTAACTGTTAGTAACTTCTTTTGCTCACATTACTACATGATTGTATTACTGTACATGACAATAATTTGACCTTGACTGGGTGGCAAATATGATGATAATGATGATATTGTGGTGTTTTCTTCCTGATACTGATTTTTCATCTTTTTGGGAAAATAGAGGCTCTTAACAGTGATTTTTGAGCATGGACTTGAACCAGACTGCCTGTGTTTAATTAAGTCCTGACTTCACTACTTAATACTTGAGTGTCTTTAGGAAGTTGCGTAACCTGTCTTCACCTCAGCTGCCTCATCTGTAAAATGTCTGATAACAACAGTATCATGGTTAATAGCAGTATACCCACCTTTCAGGGTTGGAAGGATTCAGTGAGTTAATCCCCCTAAAGCACTGGAACAGTGTCTCTTACTCAGTACTAAGTAACAACTGTAAGGATCAGAATTTTGCAGTTCTCCTGCCTTGGCCTCCCAAAGGGTTGGGATTAGAGGTGTGAACCACCACGCCCAGCCTAATTTTTTTTTTTTTAACTGAACTGCCCTTTGTTATACAAAACTAAAAATGATATCCTTGAAAGCATATAATCTTGCTACAGCTTTTACTATGAAGAGTTCTCCTTCATATGGTTACAGTTTTTAATTTGCTAGGATTCTGATTTTCTCTGTCCTAGTTTATACTGGCCCTGCTGCTTTCCACAGCATCCAGATGCCAGGATGACTATACAACAGCCCAGAAAGATGATAGAGGTGCAAAGGGCCACAGAAGCCAGCCAGGTCCTTGAAGTCACAGATACCTCATCTTCATTTGCAGATGTGTGGTTTCTGCTATTGTATCCTTTGGTTTTGTTCAGTATTTGTTTGCTGCTGTTGAGTCGGGATGGAATAGGCATATGATAAAGTTTTGTGTCTATGGATACAAAGAAAGGAGAAATCGTCTTATTATCTGGATTGCTGATGACATCAGAACTTGGTGACACCATATTTACCTTTGTGGTAATGGTGTCATTCAGGGAAGTGAATCTTGCCCAAAAATCTGTGGTTAATTCTTTGGAATAGCCAGTACTGTTTGTATTTACAACCAAATCTTGATGTGTGGTTGAGGGTGGAGCCTCTGTGGATGGCAGCACATGGTTTATCACAGTGGTTTGTGGTTTATCTAAATTTACAGCTTTTAGAATCCTTAGTCTGTCCCATCTACTGGATGAAGAATGAGTGTTTAGATACATGGGAGATTGTTCAAAAACCAGCAAATCCGGATCTATACCTGAAAAATAAATAAGGCATCATTCGTTTTATTTTTACTTTCAAAGTGAAAACCTTTAAGTGCAGTTTGGAGAAGGGCTGGCTTTTGCCGCTGTGAGTTATTGAATGAAGCTAAATTCACATTCTAATACTACATACTTCTGAAAGACTTCCCAATGTACTTCCAAACATGCTATATTGCCAGGTGCAGTGGCTCCTCTACATCTGAATTTATCTTAACTTTCTAAAACACTCTTTTTTAAATGAACAAATTAGATTACACCCAAGCAGAAGGTTTTATGTCTGTTAGGGTTTTTGTACAGTAGTGAATGTTACTTTGAGAGCTGTAGAAACAATAACCATCTGATATACAATATAGCATTTATTATTATTATTATTATTTTTGAGACAGAGTCTTGCCCTATCCCCAAGGCTGGAGAGCAGTGACGTGGTCTTGGCTCACTGCAACCTCTGTTTCCTGGGTTCAAGCAATCCTCTCACCTCAGTCTCCTTTGCTGGAATTACAGGTATGAGCCACCATGCCATGCTAATTTTTGTATTTTTTGTAGAGATAGGTTTTCGTCACATTGCCTGGGCTGGTCTCGAACTTCTGAGCTCAAGCAATCGGCCCTCCTTGGCCTCCCAGAGTGCTGGGATTATAGGCAGGAGTCACTGAACCTGGCAATATAGCATCTTTAAATCAAGTTAAACAAAATAGAACCTGAGAAGGGTGACTATAAGCAAAATCATGAGCAAAGCCTTAAGTCTCATTCCTTTTCGACCTGTGAGGGTCTTGCTTTGTCTTTAGTATTTTCTCCCTTGCATACTTCCCTCTGACATGAACAAATACTGCTTTGTCTTTAAAGGAGAAGAGAAAAAACTCTCAACAGCTTTCCAGTGGTCCCTGTTAGTGACTCCTCTCTGTCTGTCTGTCTCTCTGTCTGCCTCTCCTCTCTCTCTCTCTCTCTCTCTCTCTCTCTCTCTCTCTCTCTCTCTCTCTCTCTCTCTCTGCCTGCAAACATGCCAACATCCACTGCTTCTGAGGTGCTCAGTTGTTTTCTTACTTCCTGATCGATCACATCTCCTTGCTTTGGCTTCTCTCTTGTCCTTGATACTGCCAGCCACCTTCTTAAAATTATTCTCCTATGATTCCCTGAACCCTGAACCCCTTGACATTTTTCCCCAAACTGCCTTCCTCTCACTTTTGCTTTCTTTTGCTGGTTCTCTTGTACAACCTCACTGGTTGTGTGGTTTCCACAATCTTCAGTCCTTGGTCTTCAGCTTTATTTTCTCTTCACTGCCCCCTCCCCTCCAACACACCCAGAGATTGTGCTCAATTGGCACCACTACATTAATGGCATTGAAATGCCTATCCTGTGTTTTCCCTTCTTTCTTGAGCTCTGATCTCATTTATCCCGTGTTCTACTGGAGGTTTCCAACTGGACCTCTTACATCATCCCTTAATATGCCTAAAGCCAAAATCATTACCTCCACCTCCTTGTCCCCTTCATTGGCATCATCCTTCTTCCATCACCCACACTGAAATCTTCACTGTAAGGTGATTTTTTTTTTAAGAGACACCTGTCACTCAGGCTGGAGTGTGATAGTGCAATCATAACTAACTGTAACTGTGAACTCCTGGGCTCAAGTGATCCTCCCACCTCAGCCTCCTGAGTACCTGGGACCAACCACAGGCACACCACCATCTCACCTGCCTAGTTTTTTTTTTTTTTTGTAGAGATGGGGTCTCTCTCTGTTGCTCAGTTTGGTCTCAAACTCCTGGGTTCAAGCAGTCCTCCTGCCTCAGCCTCCCAAAGTGCTAGAATTACAGTCATGAGCCACTGCACTCGGACCTGCAAAGTGATTTTTGACTCCACTCACTTCTTCATTTCCTTTATTAAAAAGGTGACTTAAGTCCTTATTCGATCTTCCCAATGCTCTGGTAATTATCCCTTCTCTTCATTTCAGCTACAGTCACTTTGGCAGACTCTAATGCTTTCCTGACCAGATTTTCTTACCAATACCTTCATATAATTGTCCTGGATTAGGACAAATAGCTATCACTTCACATGCTTTTTCATTAAATGCCCCGTTCTCTGTTTCTGACAAAGTCAGAACCAAAATTCTACTCTGTCCATGGCCCTTATGATACCTGTCCCCACCTTATCTTAGCCATATTCTCATTGCAACTCTACATCTCATTGTGGCCGGATCTGTTTGCTTACTTCCCTGTGGCATAATGTAGAACTCATTAGCTGCTGCTTCTGCCTGGCTTCTCCCATGAACCTCCTCTGAATACACTGGCTTTCACTAGCGTCCCCTTCTTTGAAACTTTGCACTGAGGCAGCTTCACACGTTTTTGTATTTAGTTGTGTCTTAACACTAATCGTAAGACTTGTCACATCAACTAGATTCTAAAGGGACTTGAGGGCAGAGATCTGGCTGTGGTCTTCCACAGTGTTGATTCCAGCCTGGGGCATCGGGTGTTCAATACATTACAGATTGATGATGAAATATATCTCCTTTGCTTTTGGATGGCAAAAATCTCTTTTTTTATGATCACTAATTTACACCCTGAGATAACATACATGGGCACAAAACACTTATATATTTAAAATAAAATATACTGGTTATCTTGAAGACCAATGATGTGCTAATGTATGTCAGCACACAGTGGTAAGTTTCCCTGAGCCTGACATCCCTCTTTACAGAATCCTGTATGCAGTGTCCATGGCCTTCAAAACTGCCATTTAGCATCTTCTTTATCTCCTAGTGGCACCTTCAGCCACTGCAGGAGAAACGCTTCCTTTGGCTTTGCTGAGAGTTCTTGAGATTCATTAAATATACAGTCAGTAAGCCCTTGTTTGATCACAGATGATTTATAATCTGGAGTGAACTCTTTGCTGAACACATCAAACTAAAGAAAGTTTTCTGGCCGGGTGCGGTGGCTCACGCCTGTAATCTCAGCACTTTGGGAGGCCAAGGCGGGTGGATCACGAGGTCAAGAGATCGAGACCATCCTGGTCAACATGGTGAAATCCCGTCTCTACTAAAAATACAAAAAATTAGCTGGGCATGGTGGCACGCGCCTTAGTCCCAGCTTCTCAGGAGGCTGAGGCAGGAGAATTGCCTGAACCCAGGAGGTGGAGGTCGCGGTGAGCCGAGATCATGCCACTGCACTCCAGCCTGGGTAACAACAGCAAAACTCTGTCTCCAAAAAAAAAAAAAAAAAAAGAAAGTTTTCTTTCAGTTTTCTGTCCTAGTTATCCAAAATTTTTCCAAAGTTCACTGGAAAATAGTGATTTTAGGGACTCACATACAGCTATTGCTACCCAGTTTCTCAGCTATATGCCTCTACTAGAGTATTGCCAGGATTCTTCAAAAGTCTTCAGCTATGTAATCATTACCATCTGTTATGTTGTACAAAATGGCACTGGTTCCAGGCTGTAATATGCAGCTCTCCAGTGTTGGGCAGTGAATATGGAGGCAGTTGATATTGTCATGAATAGGATCGTGGTAGAAGACAGCCAGGTTACAGGAAACTGAAAGGGAAACAAGCGAAATACATCTGCAGATGGTCTTGATTTCCACCAGTTTCATAAACTCTGAGTAACTTATATTTGTTTCAGGAATACTGGATTAACAGTATTTTTCAGGGCAATGTGCAGACATTTTGCGGAACGTTTATAAACTACTGTAACTGCTTCTGTGAATATGGAAAATACTTATTTTTGGTTTTTTGGAGATAGGGTCTTGCTCTGTCACTCAGGCTGGAGTGCAATGGTATGATAACAGCTCACTGCAGCCTAGACCTCCCAGATCTAAGCAATCCTTCCAACTCAGTCTCCCAAGTAGCTGGGACTAGAGGCACACATCACCATGCCAGCTAATTTTTGTGTTTTTTGTAGAGGCAGGGTTTCATCATGTTGCCCAGGCTGGTCTCAAACTCTGGAGCTCAAACAGTCCACCTCCCCAAAAGCTAGAATTACAGGGAGGAGCCACCACAGCCAGCAAGAATATGCCTTTTTTTTTTTTTTTTTTTTTTTTTTTTTAATTTTTTATTGGATTATAGGTTTTGGGGTACATGAGCAGAGCATGCAAGACAGTTGCGTAGGTACACACATGGCAGTGTGCTTTGCTTTTCTTCTCCCCTTCACCCACATTTGGCATTTCTCCCCAGGCTATCCCTCCCCACCTCCCCCTCCCACTGGCCCTCCCCTTTTCCCCCCAATAGACCCCAGTGTTTAGTACTCCCCTTTCTGTGTCCATGTGTTCTCATTTTTCATCACCCACCTATGAGTGAGAATATGCGGTGTTTCATTTTTTGTTCTTGTGTCAGTTTGCTGAGGATGATGTTTTCCAGATTCATCCATGTCCCTACAAACGACACGAACTCATCATTTCTGATTGCTGCATAATATTCCATGGTGTATATGTGCCACATTTTTCCAATCCAGTCTATCATCAATGGGCATTTGGGTTGATTCCAGGTCTTTGCTATTGTAAACAGTGCTGCAATGAACATTCGTGTACATGTGTCTTTATAGTAGAACGATTCACTAAAATTAACTCCAGATGGATTAAAGACTTAAACATAAGACCTGGCACCATAAAAACCCTAGAAGGAAATCTAGGCAAAACTATCCAGGACATAGGAGTAGGCAAGGACTTCATGAACAAAACACCAAGAGCATTGGCAACAAAAGCCAAAATAGACAAATGGGACCTAATCAAACTCCACAGCTTCTGCACGGCAAAAGAAACAGTCACTAGAGTGGATCGGCAACCAACAGAATGGGAAAAAATTTTCGCAGTCTACCCATCTGACAAAGGGCTGATATCCAGAATTTACAAACAACTCAAGCAGATTTACAGGAAAAAAACAAACAAGCCCATTCAAAAGTGGGCAAAGGATATGAACAGATACTTTTCGAAAGAAGACATATATGAGGCCAACAATCATATGAAAAAATGCTCATCGTCACTGGTCATCAGAGAGATGCAAATCAAAACCACATTGAGATACCATCTCACGCCAGTTAGAATGGCGATCATTAAAAAATCTGGAGACAACAGATGCTGGAGAGGATGTGGAGAAAAAGGAACACTTTTACACTGTTGGTGGGAGTGTAAGTTAGTTCAACCATTGTGGAAGACAGTGTGGCGATTCCTCAAGGCCTTAGAAATAGAAATTCCATTTGACCCAGCAATCCCATTACTGGGTATATATCCAAAAGAATATGCCTTTTTAAAAGAAAATTCTTCTTTTCTCAAAGTAATCTTTCATACTTTCCATCCCACACAGGATATTTGGAATCATTCATTATATCCTGGTCCCCGAATTTTGTGTTCATGAAAAATTAGATTAGCTACAAAAACCTCTGGGGACTGGTGTGTGGTAGCTCACACCTGTAATCCGACTACTTTGGGACACCAAGGTGGGTAGATCACAAGGTCAGGAGTTCAAGACCAGCCTGACCAGGAGAAACCCCAACTCTATTAAAAATTCAAAATTAGCCGGGCATGGTGGCTCATGCCTATAATCTCAGCTACTTGGGATGCTGAGGCAGGAGAATCACTTGAACCCGGGAGGCAGAGGTTGTGGTGAGCTGAGATCATGCTATTGGACTCCAGCCTGGGCAACAAGAGCAAAACTCTGTCTCAAAAAAAAAAAAAATCTCTTGGGATTTATATCAGGTTTGTAGGGACAGTGTCCTTTCAGAATGCTGAGTCTGGGGGTCCTTAGAGAAAGAAATAGGAAAATAAAAGGATAAATGCTGTAAAGAAGAAGAGGGAGTATTGGGAAAGGCAAAAGAATAACACCTAAGTGGCCCAGATGGTGGAAAGGCTGCAGGCTGTGTGAACAGCACCCTTGCCCTGACTGAAGATGTGCACTCTCCCCACATGCAAAACCACATCCAAGGAAAAGCCTCATCAGTGTCATTTAAAGAGGCAGGGACTGGACAGGCAGGGATGCTAGCAGGTAGAATTCTAGCAGGTAGGGACACACTTGGCACATGCTGTCTTTCCTTTCCTAAGCAAATTTGCATTTTAAAACATGTTTTCTGACCAGGCGCAGGGGCTCACACCTGTAATTCCAGCACTTTAGGAGTCCAAGGTGGAGGACCACTTGAGGTCAGGAGTTCAAGACCAGCCTGGCCAACCTGGTGAAACCTCGTCTCTACTAAAAAAAATACAAACATGGGCTGGGCATGGTGGCACGCACCTGTAACCCCAGCTGCTACTCAGGAGGCTGAGGCACAAGAATCACTTGAAACCGGGAGGCGTAGGTTGTAGTGAGCTAAGATTGCGCCACTGCACTCCAGCTTGGGCAACAGAATGAGACTCTGTCTCAAAAACAAAAGCAAACAAAAAAAAAAACTTGTCTGACAGAGGAAGAGAAGACTTGAAAAAATTTCCCTTATTTCTGGAAAACCCGAAGCAGATTTGTGTAATGCAAATTTTCAGTCTATCCTCACTAAAGTGCAACACAGATTTCATTTCTGCTGAAGTAAAGTAGAGATCATGTGATGTGATATATCCATTGGCCAAAAGGTATCAACTTTTTTTTTCAGTCACCCAGACTGGAGTGAAGTGGCACAATCTTGGCTCACTGCAGCTTCTGCCTCCTGGGTTCAAGCAATTCTGCCTCAGCCTCCTGATTAGCTGGGGTTACAGGTGTGTGCCATCACGCATAGCTAATTTTTATACTTTTAGTAGAGACAGGGTTTCACCATGTTGTCCAGGCTGGTCTCAAACTCCTAACCTCAAGTGATCTGCCTGTCTCGGCCTCCCAAAATGTTGGGATTAGGGGCATGAGCTACTACGCCCAGCCAAGGTGTCAACCTCTTTAATAAAATAAGATTATAGAGGGCTAGCGTCTGATTACCAGACCTCAGAGTATTCCTAAAACTGTGGATCTGCTGCTCGCAGAACCTGAACTGCTTCTGTGTAAGGTGAACTGTGAGGAGTTAATCTCCATCATTACTCGTAGGACATCCTCATGTTTCTGCACTCTATTTTTCCAGGACAAAGAATAATACAAAAATTAGTCAATAATACAATGCAAATAAGTTACAGATTATAAATACATTCCCTGAGAACTGTGCTGTAAAGCTTAAAAGAAAGAAAATAATATTCAAACTTAAGACTTTTACATTTCTGATGAGAAAGAAGTTGATTCTGTAGAGGATAATTTTCAAATATGTTTTACATTCCTTGTATACATTTCAGCATCCCAGCTCTGAGCAGGATTGTGGCATTTTTAAAGTTATGGCTTCCAGCTAAAAACTGGAATGTGCCTTCCTGTTCTTTCTTATTCTGAAAGAAAGCCACAACTGGGAAGTTACAGGGACTCTAAAATAATGGGATTGCCCTATATGCTTACAGTATCCCCAACAGCCCAAAGGCCAGAGCTTTCCTGCTGTAGAGTCAGGTAAATTCATGCTATGGGAAAATTCAAAAAAATGTACTGCCCCTCCACTATCTCTCCTCAGTGTGGCCTTATGGGAGTTAGATGCATCTAGAAGGTGGAAATATGGATTGGCTATCTTTTCAAAAAGATTTCCTTTTATTAAATTAATCATAACTCCAGTTTTCATCTCAAAAATCTTACACACATAATTGGGCAAGAGACACTGGAAGTTAACAAGTTGATATGAAACCATGGAAAGAAAGTGTAGAACAACCAAGGGAATTATTTTAAAGTGCTGTGTCGCTTTTGCTGTTTCTTTTCAAGTAGCTTTAAAATATTGGAAAAATGAAAAAGAAATGAAAGCTTTTAGGCAATTATAACTTGAAATTCTGTAATAATAAACATTCCTAATTGCAGGTCTTGATCATATTATATGGATGCAGTCTCCACCCAGATTCCATATTATAGACAAAACATCTATGAGGAATATTTGGAAATATGATTTGGGGCAGGTATTTGACATATATCACCCTATTTCTTTCAAAACATGAATCACACTCTAAATTCTTTTTTAATACATTCCACATTTAGTAAACCCAAGACAGCACATTTTAGTTTAGGGGGATGTGTGTTTATATATGTCTGTGTGTGTGTGAGAGAGAGATAGAGCGAGAGAGAGAGAGAGAGAGAGAGAGTGTCAGTCTCACTGTATTACCCAGGCTGGAGGGCAATGGCGTGATCTTGGCTCATTGCAACCTCTGCCTCCTGTGTTCAAGCAATTCTCCTACCTCAGTCTCCCAAGTAGCTGGGATTATAGATGTCTGCCACCACACCCAGCTAATTTTTGTATTTTTAGTAGAGATGATGTTTCGCCATGTTGGTCAGGTTGGTCTCCAACTCCTGACCTCAGGTGATCCACCTGCTTTGGCCTCCCAAAGTTCTGAGATTACAGGCATGAGCCACTGCACCTGGTCCAGCACATTAAAAAAAAATTGATGAGATACTAACATCACCAAGATGTACTTTGAAAGGAAAATTATAGTAAATATTTGACTGGGTTAGTGGTTCACATCTGTAATCCCAGCACTTTGGGAGGCTGAGGCAGGAGGATCACTTGAGCCCAGGAGTTCAAGACCAGCCCAGGTAACATAGTGAGGCCCTGTCTCTAAAAACTTAAAATAAAATGAGAAGTAAATAAATATTCAAAAATCATATATTTTATATTTTGAGCTGTAAAAATATTGTGAATTAATTTTGGGAGAAATATTTTCATTTAGCATTTTGGTGAAGAAAAGAGGATGCTGTTTCCTGTAGGTTCTATTGAATTCTGGGTCATTATTAGATCTGCAAATAGAGCCTGCTCTGGCCCAGACTTTGAAATCAGTTTCAATGGCTCTCTTTCCTCTCCCTCTCTCTCCCACACCCCAGGGCATCTTCTCTAGTCCTTTGCAACTATTTACAGGCCTCTACCTAGGGCTCTTCACTTAGGTCTTTATCCTTGGAAATTTTCTCTTATTTTTGCCCAAGCGTATCATGACTACTTACCATCCTTCTGAAGACAGCAGCTCCTACTGCACTTCTGGCCCGTGCTTTCAGAATAATACTTCAAGAACTGGGCTCCCAGCTTCTGAGACTCCTCCAGATCGACTAGAAGACCTGGGAAGCGACGGATCCAGCAGTCTCTGTAAAAAATGGTGGGTGAGCAGAGAGAGTCTGATGTCCATCCCATGCTCAGAAGCAATATTACGTTCACTACTACCACTGCCACATGCATTTTTCCTGTATGAAGGCAGACTCGAAGATAAATCTGATTCCAGACAGAAGCTGAACACAGGAGTTTAGGACAGTCTCTGGAATGTCAGGGGTGTTGCTAAGGGAGAGCTTCCTTGAACATTTCTGTAGAGTCACTTTCTAGAAAAATAAGATGTTTCTTTGACTGCATATTGATTTTTCTTTTCTTTCTTCCCAATTGAGCCCCAGGTGAACATTTGATTTGCCAGCGTTCTTTCTGAGCACTTTCCAGGCTATTTCAATGCTGTGTCCCTTAGCGTCTTAAGACATGCATTCTCTTTTCTGCTTTTCTTCTTTCTCTGAATGTGAATAGTCACAGACACCTTTTGCTTAGTAAATATAAAGACAAGTGGAAACCTTAGTCAAGAGTCTTTCTGAGGGAAACAATAAGTTAGTCACTTGACATCAGATAAAGAAGTATCCATTTCATCATAAACAAGACACGATTTTGTGAGGGCACTTCTGTTTGATTTTTAAGAACTTGTGACTGCAGATTGTATTTAAAAAAATCATCTCTATTTCTTTAAATTTAAGTTCCGACATTCAGGTTCACTAAAAAAAAGTTTTTGCACTGGTTTGGGTTTTTGTTCTTAATTAAATAAAAACCTTGGTCAGGCACAGTGGCTCACACTTGTAATCTCAACACTTTGGGAGGCTGAGGTGAGAGATTGCTTGAGCCTGAGAGGTGGAGGTTGCAGTGAGTCGAGATGACACTACTGCACTCTAGCCTGGGTGACAGAGTGAGACCCTGTCTCAGAAAAATCAAACCAAACCAGTCCAAACAAACTAACAACAACAAAAAATACTAGGAAATGGTGAAATGTTTTTAAATTTCTAAATAGTAATAAAATCATTTCAATTGCAATGCTTAAAAAGGCAGTAAAAATGGACTCTCGCTTTTGTGAAAGTTGTGGATTTCATATCCAGTGACGTCCAAGGTGACAAATTAGTTCAAAGCATAAAACTGCTGCTTTTTTGTATCCAGTTTTGTATGAAGCATTAGTGATAATCAGCTTTTGGCACAAAGCACTGTACTGTTTCTTTTTTAAAAAGAAACTTTCTAATCTGTGATCTCTATTTCTTTTATACCTTTTTATACAATGACTCATTCACCTTGACACAAAAATCATTAGCATTCTTTGAACTTTCATCTCTTCACCCATTTCCTAATAGTCAGTCTAATTATTACATAATTTTTTATTTTTAGAAGCATATGATAATAATTGATAATGAAAAGGAAAGTAGTTAAGACTGAACAGCTTTAAATATGAAACACTTCATAAATATTAATTCTTCTGAGCAAAAATTATATTATACACTAACTCCTAACTCTGCCTAAGGCACACAAAATACACAAAATGATAAATATTTTATTTTAATGAACTTCTTATAGAAAGCAAATTTCAGTTGCTTACCTGCAAAGACTCAGACGATTCCATCTGTTCTGAAGGGATAGGGAAGAGAGTTTTATAATGGCAAAGGAAGGGACAGATGAGTAACAACAAATTACTCTTGTTTTTTTATGAGATGCCATAGCTATTTCCCTTAGAAAATGCCCTCAAGACATAAACACAAAGGTCTGCTCTCTAATCTTATGATCATCAAGTCTTTGAGTCATATTAAATATAGGTTCTTTTGTGTGCTATGTATTTGCTTGAAGTTCTCATGTTCCCTTCAGGGATAATAGAGCAATCCAAGATTAACCACGATTAACCCTTTTGCTCTCAGATTGTATTTAAATAAAGATCAAAGTTTCATTTTAAAGGATCTACAATGCCTATAATCCCAGCACTGTGGGAGGATGAGGCAGGAGGACTGCTTGAGCCTAGGAGTTCGAGACCAGTCTGGGCAACATAGGGAGACAGGGTCTCTACTAAGTAAGTGAATAAGTAAGTAAGTAAGTAAGTAAATAAATAAATAAATAAATAAATAAAGCCCTGCAGGGGCTGGTGCTATTAAGAAAAAAAAAGAAAAAGAGGATCTACAAAAAATTTTAAAACGTGTTTTAAAATTTTTGAACTTTTTTTTTGATGATTGCATGAAGTCTGGAAATGGATAACTTCTTGGGGCCAAGTATTTTGAAAAGAAATGGTAGAAGCTGGAATGCAGAGGTAGAGGGAGACATCCATAACAATCTCAAAACTTGTCCTTGGGTGCTGAAATTGCAGAAACCATGAAACAATGCAACTGAATCAAAAGTTGGTATAAGGTCTTGTTATCAAATACCCACAACTGTTACACTGTTGCAATGTGGCAATACATTACATTTTTTTCCAATAGGGTGCTTTTGCTCTGCAGGGGAGTTCACAAATGTGATCTGTACTTTAAAAGTCACTTATCTCTCCCAACAGCCTGATTCAATAGCTGTTGAGTGGAGGAGAGTGGCATTCTTATTTTTACAGGAGTCCCTGGTGATTTCTTAAGATGTCTGGAAAACACTGATACAGATAGATGACTGAAATAAATGGAAGTTGTACCTAAACAAGAGTGCTCAACTTGAGTTAAACAGAGCCATTTTAAGACCATGTACTATTATCTCATTTATATCACCCCATAAGATTTGATGAATGGAAGATACTTCAGTTTTGCTTGTTAAAAAGCAGCAATAGGCCAGGCATGGTGGCTCACGCCTGTAATGCCAGCACTTTGGGAGGCTGAGGCAGGCAGATCACTAGAGTTCAGGAGTTTGAGACAAACCTGGGCAATATGGTGAAACCTCATCTCTACTAAAAATACAAAAATTAGCTGGGTATGCTGGTGCACACCTGTAATCCCAGCTACTCAGGAGGCTGAGGCAAAAGAATGACTTGAACCTGGGCAGTGGAGGTTGCAGTGAGCTGAGATTATACCACTGTGCTCCAGCCTAGGAGACACAGCAAGGCTCCATCTCAAAAAAACAATACAAAACAGAAAGTTGTTTTAGGAATATCAAGGAACTAAAATAATCAAAGAGAAATAATTTTTAAATGGCAGTGAAGTAATAGCATAGCTTTAATAAATTCAAGACATTTGGAAAACAGTCAATATTTCTTATTTATTTATTTGAGACTGTCATTCAGGCTTGAGGGCAGTGGCACAATCTTGGCTCACTGCAACCTCTGCCTCCCAGGTTCAAGCTATTCTCCCACCTCAGCCTCCCAAGTAGCTGGGATTACAGACATACAGCACCATGCCCGGCTAATTTTTTTTTTCTTTTTAGTAGAGATGGGGTTTCACCATTTTGCCAGGCTGTTCTTGAACTCCTGACCTCAAGTGATCCGCCCACCTAGGCCTCCCAAAGTGCTGGTATTACAAGTGTGAACCACCATGCCTGGTCACTTTTATTTTAACATTGCAAGTTGTTTTATTTACTTATGTTTCCATTTCATGTGCTGATAAAATTAATAAATATTATTTTTTAAAAAATGGAACCTGAAAAATTTAAATGTTATTTTTTTCTTTAAAAATGTTTTTACTTCTATTAAATTGGTATATGTTCACTTTAAGAATTCAAATCATATAGAAAAATACAAAAAGAGAAACTATTCAAGCACTTACCATCTTAATAAACATCTTTCTGGATATTACTATTTAAAAAGCATAAACCGTCAAAATACAAAATTACAACAACTTTAGTTAAAGATCTTAATTGGCTTTTATTTGTGATTCCAAATAGGGCAACACCTCATTCTATAAAATCCAATAAACTGAGCAGAGGAGGTGGCTTCGTTGATGGAAAGAGCTGAGGAAGGCAGAAACAGAAAACAAAAAGCAGATTGGTCATTTCAAAGTTACTTTCCTGGTAAAGGTAAAGCAGAGGGCACTTCCTTATCATGATGGTTAAAAGTGGCCTCTCTGGGGATTTGGTGATTATGTCTCTCCTGAGTTTTTCAAAGATCAGATACAGATGTTGGTTCTGGCTTGGTGGCATCATAGAACATTAGTGTGAGTAACTCCATTTTGGTTTCATCTGCTGGGGCTACTGAAGGAGCTCAGCTGAAACCAGTGGTCTTGGCGGGCATGGTGGCTCACACCTATAATCCCAACACTTCCTCAGGTCGAAGAGGAAGGATTGCTTTGAGCCCAGGAGTTTGAGATCAGCCTGGGCAACACAGGGAGAGCCTGTCTCTACAAAATTAAAAAGAAAGAAAATTAGCCAGGTTGAGGTGGGTCCCATGAGGTTGAGGCTGCAGTGAGCTGTGGTTGTGCCACTGCACTCCAACTTGGGCAACAGAGCAAGACTCTGTCTCAAATAAATAAGTAAATTAACCCATGGTCTATACATTTTATGTATTTTAAATTTATTTTTTATTTAAATTTTTTGTAGAGACAAGGTCTCACTATGTTGCCCAGGCTAGCCTCAAACTCCTGGCCTTGTGCAATCCTGCCTTGGCCTCCCAAAGTGCTGGGATTACAGGAATGAGTCACTGCACTGGCCTCCTATAAATTTTATTTAACAGTATATAGTTTTACATAAATGGAATAATACTGTTCTAAAATCTGTTTTTTTAAAAAAACAATGTAAAAGTTTATTTTTTGGCTGGGCATGGTGGCTTACATCTGTAATTCCTTTGGGAGGAGGTGGAAGGATTACCTGAGGGTAGGAGTTCGAGACCAGCCTGGCCAACACAGTGAAAAACCTGTTTCCACTGAAAATACAAAAATTAGCCAGGTGTAGTGGCGGTCACCCATAATCCCAGCTACTCAGGAGGCTGAGGCAGGAGAATCACTTGAAGCCTGGAGGCAGAGGCTGCAGTTAGCCGAGGAACTGAGATCACATCACTGCACTCCAGCCTGGGTGACAGAGTGAGACTCTGTCTTAAAAAAAAAAAAAAGACAGTGGTCCTAAAGAAAGATCTACACAAAAACTTCTAATGGCTCTTTGGTATTTCATTCTACCATATCAAAATTTACTCTGCAATTCTGCTTCCTCAGCTGTAAAATAGTATTGTAATCCATGTAAAGCACTTATGACAGTACCTGGCACATGCTAAACACTCAACACATATTAGCTACTATTATTATAGATTATATGGTTTTCCAATTTTTTATTATTAAAAGCAATACTGTGATAAGCATCTTGTACTAAGATTTTTTTTCTACTTGATATTTTAAAAGGGATATTTTCCATAAATTCTTTTAAAAATTTACCTACTTCAGCTAGGTTTGGTGGCTCATGCCTGTAATCCCAGCACTTTGGAAGGGTGAGGAGGGAGCATCGTTTGCACCCAGGAGTTCAAGACCAGCCTAGGCAACATAGCAAAACCCCGTCCCTACAAAAAATATAAGAACTAACCGAGCATAGTTGCACATGTCTGTAATCCCAGTTACTTGGGAGGCTGAGGTGAGAGGAGCGCTTGAACCTGGGAGACTGAGGTGAGAGGAGCGCTTGAACCTGGGAGGCTGAGGTTTCAGTGAGCTGTAATAGTGCCACAGCACTCCAGCATGTAGTCCAAGCCTCTTTGATACAAGGGGCGCCTCCCAGCAAAATTTCTCCAGCCTTATGCTTAATATTGGATGTTACATTCTACCATCCTGAAGAAGCAGCTAAATCCATAATCACCCACTCCCCCTCCTGCTCCAAAGCCTATCATATCTCACTGTACCCTCATAGAGAATAGAAGTGTAAGGGTTGATGTGAAAATGGAGTTTTATCAGTAACGATTTTAAAAAATAGTTTAAATTTAAAAAAAATTACCTGACTCTATTTGACCATTAATCTTTTGTAAAACAGATAGTCCTTGATAATAATACTACAAAGCCAGTTTTTGTTATTCAATGATCAGTCAATAACAGATCTATAAAATTATACCTCCAGTTATATAAAGCAGTATTTTCAGGAAGCCAGAACTTACTTTAGGTCTTTTTTAAATAAAGGAGTTAATATTGCTCTGACTTTGCATTTCTAGCTTAACAGAAAACTTGCTGTGTAATTTATTAAAATGATTTGATCATTTAAGATGCTCCCAATCCTAAATAATGTTATCATTTTGGGAGTCAAAAACTCACAAGATCAATGCCTAGTATTGTGAGACTAACACCCCAGATTCCCTGTCCAACCTTATCTTACCCTGATAATGTTACTGTGCTTGAATTGCCTTTCTAATGCACATGATTCTTTGAGCATATTTTTTTGGTCTGTTTCAAAAAGGCAAGAAAATACCAGTCTGAGGCATATCTATGACGGTTGGGAAACAAAAGCATCCATTGGTGAAAGATTCAAGAGACAGAGGAGAGACTGAGAGCCTGTTCTTTGTGGCTGACCCACTGAATCTGGCATTGTTGCTGGTTGAGGCACAGATAAATCGTAGGTCCAAGCCTCTGATACAGGGGGCGCCTCCCAGCAAAAGTTCCCCAACCTGACGCTTAAAACTGGATGTTATACTCTACCATCCCGACGAAGTTGCTAAATCCATGATCACCCACTCCATCTCCTGCTCCAAAGCTTATCATGCCTCACTGCACCCTCATAGAGAATGGAAGTGTGAAGGGTTGGTGTGAAAATGGAGTTTTATCAGTAACGACTTAAAGGCCAGGTGAAACCAGGGGAAGAGATGCATATTTTTTAATAGAATCCAAGAAAACAACTGAATAAGTCATAGATCCATTTTTATTTCCTTCATTTATTCCAGGGAGGCCAGAAAATATAGAAAATTTTATATGTCTTTTATTTTTTAGTTCCTTATTTCTAGCATTATTATAAGGAAAATAGGCCAGGCACAGTAGTGCTTTGGGAGGCCAAGGCAGAAGGATCACTTGGGGTGGCAGGATCCCTTGGGGCCAGGAGTTTGAGGTTAGCCTGGGCAAGGTAGCAAGGCCCTGTCTCTATGGAAAAAAAAAAAAATGCATTTCCCCCCCCAAAATAAAAAGACAAACTTCCTTTCCAAAGTAATAATAATAATAAAGATAACACCTCTCTGTGAAGCAGTTAAATGACAGTGAGAAGCATGAATGTAACCAAACTGTGTTGCAAGGATATCACCTACAACTTACTTCTCTGTTTTTTTTTTTTGAGACGGAGTTTCGCTGTTACCCAGGCTGGAGTGCAATGGCACGATCCCAGCTCACCGGAACCACCGCCTCCTGGGTTCAGGCAATTCTCCTGCCTCAGCCTCCTGAGTAGCTGGGACTACAGGCGCGCGCCACCATGTCCAGCTAATTTTTTTGTATTTTTAGTAGAGACGGGGTTTCACCATGTTGACCAGGATGGTCTCGATCTGTTGACTTCGTGATCCACCCTCCTCGGCCTCCCAAAGTGCTGGGATTACAGGCTTGAGCCATGGCGCCCGGCCTCTTCCGTTTTTTTTTTTTAAGCGTTTCCTCTTCCTAACATAACATGGTAGGATGTATCTTCTTTAAATAGGGGAAATGTACTTTTTAAATAAGATATTATTTAACAACCTGTCATTCAGGAAGAAAGCTGAAGCTTGTAATAATAATAAAAAATCCAAATACATATTCTCTCCAAGTTAAGAACTGTTTATCATAGGTGGTTCTCAAATGTTGGTTTGGGGGAAGTTTTCAAGGTTTTCTGTTTTTGTTTTGTAAGTTAAGAGTGAACACCCTCTGCATCCTCCCAATCCTGCTCTCTCTTTTCCTACCCAAAGATAACCCTAACAATATATTTCTCCCCCACCCTCTTCCTGAGATCAATTCATAAGCAACACAAAAAGCCCTTCCTATTATTATTTGGGGTGGGCCTTCTAATTACAATGTTCAGTGAGCGAACATAGGAAACAAGTGGTTTGTCTTTTCCGAGACGAAGTCTTGCTCTGTCGCCCATGGTGGAGTACAGTGGCACGATCTCGGCTCACTGCAACCTCTGCCTCCCGGATTTAAGCAATTCTCCTGCCTCAGCCTCCCGAGTAGCTGGGATCACAGGCACCTGCCACCACGTCCGGCTAATTTTTGTATTTTTAGTAGAGACAGGGTTTCACCACGTTGGCCAGGCTGGTCTCTTAATTGCTGACCTCATGATCCGCCCGCTTCGGCCTCCCAGAGTGCTAGGGTTCCTTGGCCAAACTGCACGTGTGCTCTCTCTTAATAGTTCTCAGATGATGGGGGCAGGGTAGGTGGAGAAAGGGGGTGACAAGAAAAGCTACCTCTGCAGACAACCATGAGCCAATTTTGTCAGACCTGCGCCAGGATAACATTCCGTAATAGATAGTTCAGCCAGACTTAAGTAGAAAAGCAATGGCTCGTGGAAAACATGGTTTAAAACCAGAAGCCTGATGTAACTTTATTTGGGCTGCGCTTTCATCTTTCTTTAAATAACTTAGGGACCGAATAACGGGCCCCACCAGCAAATGCAAGCTCCCCTGCCTCCCAACCCGATTCTTCTGAGAACCTGCTGCCATCTGCGT